TATATATATATATATATATCTAAGAGGTTTTTTCTTTTTTTTGGTCAGCCATATATATGTTAGAGTTAGGATACTGTTACACCTATGTAAGAATAAGAAATTTTTATACAATTAGAACTTTAAAAAATTGTTGGGATTGGGCCCAACATTCAACCTGGGTCATGCCCAATAGACCCAATAACACTTCCACAGGATGGAGCTCAACGTTTAATCTGGATCACTCTCAATGTTTTCTCATTTCCATGGGTTTCCATCCTTCTGTACCATCTTCATAAAATTTCTTGTATTGTTCTTAACTATGTATATTTAGATTTTGTTGCATTCTCCAAATGTTGAAGAACATGGTTTCTTGCTGCTAGGTTCAAATCAAACCTGCTGGACAAAAAGATTCATGTGTGGTTACAAGGAGTAATTTCAAGAACTTGTAAGATTCTCACTTAATTTCATGATGCTTATATCATTTCCACAAGCAGTCTCAAGATGAGACTTATTTTTCCCTAATAACCAATCGATCCTTGAATCTGTTTATTTTCATAACTGATTATTGTTGCACTAAGGCTAACATGTTCATCTGAAATAAAGGTTAACGTTTCTTGGATTTATTACCTTAAATTGGTGATGGTGAACCTTGTAGATTTTGCTTGTGGTGAACTAGGAGCAAAGGTGCAAACATAAGAATGCTTTTGTTTGTTCATAGCCCTAGTTGCATCATAAGCTTCTCCTGCTCTTTATCAATTATCCCATACATATGTGAATAATTAATTGTAGAAGTTTATAAGAGGAGAAGGCGGAAACCATCTCTTTCATACTTATCATTACATACATATGTTGATTTGCCTCTACTGAAATGTAGTTTATATTTTTTTCAATTTTCGTAACAGATACTGGACATTGACTCAACAATTGGCACAACATACAATCAATGGTTGCAACTTGAGGCCTGGAGATCTTCTTGGAACTGGAACCATCAGTGGGCCTGTATGTTGTTTTTAGTTAACTTCACAGGACAAACACAAACACACTAGATGCACAACAAACACTATAGGTGAAAATGGATAATGGCAAAATTATCATTTGTTATTTGGATATTGGTTTGGTCTGAGATTACACTTGGTCATTTTCTTGGTCCTCATAGCTTCAGGACAGTTCACACCTTAATAATAAATATAGGACAGCTAAGCTTTGGAGAAGAACTAGTCAAATTCAGTTGAAATACATTAGAATTTAGTAGGAATTGAAGTAGCCTTACAATATTATTTTTAATTTTAGGGGATATTGATTTATAGAAAATGTATCTGATGTTGTATCGTAAAAAATTTTGATAGACTGTTCTTGAAAATGAAATATGCCTAAGAGTTTTTGTATATCATTTCCAAGTTAAGATTGCCATTATTTTTAAGAATAGTAATTGAAGATGAAACCTAGTGCAATATGCATGTCAAAAATGGAGCTTTTGTAAACTAGACAACATTATAGTGGTACCATGTTTTCTTTCAAGGATATCAATATGTTGTGTCTCCTAATGCTAATGTAACATCTCCAACTCCAAGGGACACATATAATACATGATTGAATATATAAAAACAGAAAATTACTGATTGACAATCTATATATGCTGGTATGTGATATTTTCATGTTGCATATTGGAATTTAGCCCCTTTGTTTACATGTGATAAATATGATAAAGAACAATATTTGCTCGAGTGAAATTTTAATTTTGCATAGTATTCTTGACAGGAGCAAGATTCTCTTGGATGTTTGCTAGAATTAACATGGAATGGACAGAAGCCATTGTCATTGAATGGAACAACTCGTAGTTTCTTAGAAGATGGGGATGAAGTAACCTTTATTGGTTGTTGCAAGGTACTTAATTATACAATCTTTCTCACTCAATTCAACTTCTTATAGCTTGTTGCAAGCTTTCGAGTTACCATGGTCACTCCATATGGCATCATCATACAAATTTTTTTCTATAGGATAAAAGTTCCGGGGCTTTTTCTCTTCTTTTTGATTTTTTTTTTTTTGCTTCCTGTTGCCTATCAACAAGGGAAGTTAAGACTTAGCCATTTGCAAGAAAATGAACCTTAACCTTGACCAGAGTATCAAAGTTTTGTAGTTAGTTGGTGCTAGGCAATTTTCTATGCAATTCTCAAACCTTGTAGAACATTCTATTGAACCTCCAAGAAGAATAGCCCTCCCTGGCTATGATATCAGTTTTCTCCTGGGATTGTTTTGCATGGATATCGACCTGAATGGGATGAGATGTTGAAACTAATTACAATCAAATTAACATGGCTTACCCTATTATTGTGGTTTGTTTTATGTTTATTACCTCTTGAATCTCTTGAAACATGTCCATCATGTAGGTATTTAATATTCTTGCAGGGAGATGGTTACAATGTTGGCTTTGGGACATGCACCGGGAAGATACTTCCAGCCCCTTGAAGAATAAGTCATCGCAATGTGCAAGTAGGTACAACACTCACAATCGATGATGTTTTCCTGTCAAGAGATGTCACTTGACCATTTGAATTGATTCTCATGGTTGGACCAGTCTGTTTGTTGTAAATTAGTTTATGGTTCTTAGTAGTTAACTGAAGAATAATTCAGAACCTTTGTTGCTTAGCATTTTGTTTCTGGTTTTTGGATGTTGGAAGTTGTTACTTAGTAATCTTTCAGTGCAGTTCGTCAAGTCTGTTTGTTGTATATCACTTAATGTTTATCAGCCGGACCAATAAAAAATCGGTGGAAATACACTTCAAAACTACATTGTTATAATAAAGCACAGTAAGAAAAGACTAAAATAGTGTCATTCCTGCTTTAAAAATAATGAAAATGATTTAGTCTTTTTCAATGAGATTTTATTAAAATGATGTGGTTTTGAAATTTTTTTCTACTTAATTTTTTGTAATATAGTCTAATACCCACTTTTCTTGTATATAAATAAGATTAATGGGTATAGGTCAATATTACAAAAAATTATGCAAAAAAATACTTTAAAATTATATTGTTTTAATAAAATATCATGAGTAATAATTAAAATAACTTCATTTTTAATTTAAAAATTAAGATATTTTAGTCTTTTATGGAATTTTATTAAAATGACTCCCAATAGGATAGAATATGTGGCTCTTCGATTAGGACTTTCAGCAGAGCTTTTGGGGACCAAAGAGCAGGGGTAAAGACCGCCCAATGGGCTCATTGCTAGTGAATGTAGGAAGGAATGCTAGTTTGAGTTTGGCTGGTGGAGATGAATCCCGGGGAACTTATTAACATTTATTTCGTCCCTGGAACTCAATTTGGGTAGTTCCCCTCAATAAGGACAAAAAGTAGCATCAGCGGATGAAAGAGTAACGGGATACTTATTCTTTCTTGCTCTCAGGGTTTTTTGATCAACAA